AATGACTTGTTTAGGTCACTAGATACAATTTCAGATTCCAGGCTGTTTTTTTTTCACTAGACTGGTTGCCTCCCTTGATTAGATCACCTCTTATTCTATTATGTTGGCAAATGGGATGTGAAAGCAGTACTGATAATAGTTCATGAACTCATTATTTCTTAGAAATCCTTAAATGAAAGACGCCATAGGATGGTGTGACTGTCCTTAGAGTAAACGTTCTGAGTCGTCATTTTCTTGGGAAAGACAAGAACAAAAAGTGAGGTGGCTGGCTGTGCAAATAGACACCCATCAACTCTTTCAGGCTGATTATTTTAGCTTAAGGAATTCCCCTGCCTTTTCTGTCCCATAGAGGATCCTGGACGAGTGCCAGGTAATTGAGTCACTAGGTACCCCTTTTCAGAATAAACTCAGAGAAATGAAAAAGTGTTTATGCCACAGGCAACAAGCAAAATATCTGGTTGCCCTTTAGATAGTCCAACCCTGGCTCATTTTTATTTTGGAGGTAAAATCTAAAACCTGAAGCTGTTCTAAAATTTTTCTCAAAAAATTCCAGTTACCAAATATAATTTAAAGATATTTTGTTTTGGTCTTTTCCTGGTTATCTTTCCCTTTGGTTTTCCCAATATACATTCTCTTTCACTGCATACCCTTTTTGTTCTTTAATTTCTTCCCATTTGACTTCTTTTTATGCATCTGTCACATTTTATATGTTAAAAATGATTCCCTGGCCAGGCATGGTGTTTCACGCCTGTAATCCTAGCACTTTGGGAGGCTGAGGTGGGTGAACCATGAGGTCGGGAGATCAAGACTATCCTCGCCAACACAGTGAAACCCCGTCTCTACTGAAAATACAAAAAATTAGCTGGGCATGGTGGCACGTGCCTGTAGTCCTGGCTACTTGGGAGGCTGAGGCAGGAGAATTGCTTGAACTCAGGAGGCAGAGGTTGCAGTGAGCCGAGATTGCACCACTACACTCCAGCCTGGGTGACAACATGAGACTCTGTTTCAGAAAAAAAAAAATTCACTTATATTTACCAAATGCTCAGGATCTGTGCAGGCAGTAAGCCATCTAGGTTTACTGGCAACCAAAGGTGTACTGTTGGATAGGTACCTCTAGAGAAAGGAGGTATTCCAGCAAATGAGCAAAATCTTTTTTAGTGTGACAAGAAAATATTAAAAGTTCTACAATGTATTTAGATTTACTTTTTATCTCATACATTTTATTTTGTATGTTTAAATATATAACATATATTTGAACAGTTATATGCCTAAATAATTTACAAAGTACTTTAACATACATTTATTGAAAATGTATGCTCAAAATATTTTTACTAGGCCAGGCGCAGTGGTTCGTTCACACGTGTAATCCCAGCATTCTGGGAGACTGAGGCGGATGGATTCCTGAGGTCAGGAGTTTGAGACCAGCCTGCCAACGTGGTGAAACCCATCTCTACTTAAAAATACAAAAATTAGCTGGGTGTGGTGGCACATGCCTATAAATCCAGCCAGAGGCTGAGGCAAGAGAATCTCTTGAACCTGTAAGGTGGAGGTTGCAATGAGCTGAGATCATGCATGCCACTGCACTTCAGCCTGGGTGACAGAGTGAGACTCTGTCTCCAAAAAAAAAAATTTTTTTTAATTTTTTTTTTTAACTATGGTATTCATGATTTTAAAATTTTGGCAGTGAGAACCACAGAGAAACAGTACATACAAATAATAGTACTAGCTACTGTCTGTCTACTGACTGCTGTGTGCAAGGGACTGTTTAACTGCTTTATTCATATTAAGTCATTTAATCTCCCCAACAACTCTATGAAGTAGGTACTGCTATTGTGTTATTCCCATGCCACAGATGAAAGTATTGAGGGGTAGAGAGGTTGGGTAATTTATCCAGAGACACAAAACATGGCAGGATCTGAACTTAAGCCAGTGGGCCCCCAGAATGTGCTCTTAACCAACCCTGTATGCTGCCTCTGGCAGTTATTAAACAGAGTGAGAAGAAGGACTGGGCTTAGTATTCTGACGGCCATCTATGGAAGCTTATTCTCCTCACTCCTGTGCTAAGAAGCGTTGTTCGTTCATTTTGGATACTCTCTCATCTTGAACTAATTTTGCGTGTCAGATATTGGCAAAGATAAATTAGACTTGGATTCTACCCTCAAGAAGCTACAGTCAATGCAGAAGATGAGACAGTTACATGAGTAACTATAATACAAGTAGAAAGTGAGAAAGTTGCCTGGGCATGGTGGCTCATGCCTGTTATCCCAATGTTTTGGGAGCCAAGGAGGAAGGATCACTTGAGGCCAGAAGTTTGAGTATCAGCTTGGGCAACATAGTGAGACCCTGTCTCTATAAAAATTTAAAAAGTAGCCAGTCATGGTAGCATGCACATATGCGAAAGGCTGAGGTAAAAGAATTATTCAAGCCTAGGCGTTCGAGGCTACAGCGAGCGGTGATCATGCCACTATGCTCCAGCCTGGGCGACAGAGCAAGTCCCTGTCAAAAAAGAAAGAAAAGCAGCATTTCTCCCACAGGGAAAATTTTTGGAAAACTGTAGAATAAGCCACATTTGAGCTGGTTTGAAGCCAAAGATTATCCCTCAAATCACCATCTAATTTTGTAACAAATACCATCATGAGAGTGTCTTTGGAAATATTTGCTTTTGTCCTTGGCCTTGCCCCCGCTTTCCCTTTCAGAGTTCCCTCCATGTTTTAAAGCAGTGAGCTCCTCTGAAGCTGGGCCTTCACTAAGCCTCACTCAGGCTGGTTTCCCTGACAGGGAGGGTGGAAATGCAGGAGTGGCAACTCCAGGAGGGGCAGCTTCAGGCTCTGCAGAGTTTAGTTTTGGTGGCCAGGCCATGATCAGTCCCACCTGCTTTGATGCTCAGTGGGAACAAGGCCATTGTTGGTGGAGTGTAGCTCTGTATCTCATGGGATATGCGATATAGATATTTTGGACCTCAAATATGAGGCCCAAGAAACTGAAGGTTTTGTATTTAGTTGATATCTTAAAATTGTGGAAGTTGCATTTTAGCCTTTGGGACAGCCAGAAATGTCTTTTTTATAGAAAATGGTTCTTGACAGCATATTTTTTTCCAGAATTTCCAACAGACAAGGAAAAAAATCCCCAACTTTGCAATAGAATTAATTGGGACTTAATGAGGTGAGTAGTCAAGAGATGGTGTTATGAGTATGCAACACGAAGTGACCTTTTTAAGGCTAGAAGCTGCCACCTGTCGAAGTGGTTTAAATCAGGATTTTGGCAGAAGCACAATATTGTGACAGTCAAAAAATGTGAGTGAAATTCGGTCTCCTCTACATACCCTATTTAGGAATGTAGTCATTAAGCCCCTACACTGTGACTCAGCTCAGAAGACACAAGAAAGAATGATCTAACTCTCTAAGAGATATGGAAGTTTTCTTCCAGATTGTTAACCCACAGCAAATTGGCTGATACCTGGAAAAAGAGCCAAATTTGATCATGTTTGCATTTTATCTCCCTCTTTACTGTAAAAGATTTTGACTTGAAAGAGACTTAGTGTTGCATTTTTCAAGAAAAGAAAATCAGCAGCATTGATATAAGTATGGTTCTGCAGTACTGGAGCCAGAAGTGTATATTGTAATCTTATCTGTAGGGGTGAAATGGAATTTCATGAGTGATTATGTTGAAACATGCTTGCAGACTTAAATACTTAATATGACTTATATGTGCTTAAGGGAAAACATGAATCGTAAGAGAGGAAAAGTTCTGACTTCAGTTCTCTGATCTGCCACTAATGATTTAGCATAAAGCCTTGGACCAATTTTTGTGCCTCAGATTTTCCATGGATGAGAATGGTACCACGAATGTATCATAGACCTTGTAATCATTTTTAAGTTATTTTTAAATTTAAAACCTCTGAGAACATTTGGCTTTAAAGAATATTAGAGCTTTTAAAAAGGCATAAGGCAATTTGAACCGTCCAAGAAACTAGCAGATGCTACTCAAGAGGGTTTTGAGACACAAAGAGCCTTAATCTCCCTTTAAAGCTTATTTCATCTTTCAATAAATTATTCTTAGAGTTTAAATATTTTTTCTTGCTTTAATTTTTCTCTGGTTCCTCTAACTCTGTCCATTCTCTCCAACAATGTTAATGTCTCTAACAAGGGAAGACAATGTCACCTTACTCCTTGCAACATAAGAATTCTTGTATTATTAAGACTTCTTAATTTTCCTGAGGACACAAAGGATCAATGAACCAACTAGTATTTATTGAGCACTTAATGTGTTCTAATATGATGTTTGGGAAAGGGATATGACAGCTGTCGGATTTCCAGGCAGTACAAAAGGCTTATTGCATTCTTATTGAAAAACTTACTGAATCTCCTGATTCCAGTCATTCAAAGGTAGATTCCTTTCTGTACCTCCTTGGGTGTGCCTCACTATGCTTTATTATCTCCAGTGAGAGGTCCCAAGCTATCTCCTGACAAACTGTTCCTTCAGTTTTTGCCATCACATAGTTGCCAAACAAGACAGATTTTCATGTAATACAGGAATGAGTCAAATACTTTAAGTGCTGAATCAACTGAAAAAGACAAGTTCTGCATGAGATCAAAGAATGAATCACTGTTGGCTGTTGTGATCAGGAAAAGATGATGACCTAGGGTTAAATAATCAATATCTTTTAGTTTTTCTCAAGGTAGAATACATGTGTTCATCTTTATTATTTTTGGTGTCATTTGCAAATTCTAATAATAGTTAACATTTATCTTATTCTTCTTAATGACAACATTTTTTAACTGACAAAAATTGTGTATATTTATGAAGTATAATGGGATGTTTTGATATATGTATACATTGTGGAAAGATTAAATCGAGATAATTAACATTCATCACCTTACATACTTATATTTTTTATGGTTAGAACTTTTAAAATCCATTAGCAAATTTCAAATGTATAATACATTATTATTAACTATAGTCATCATATACAATAAATATCTTGAACTTTCTTCTAACTGAAAAAAAAATTGAATGACACATATCTGTGTCATCCTTGTTCAGGGGCCATGCTAATCTCTGTATTTTTCCAATTTTAGTATTTGTGCTGCCAAAGTAAGCACCAGCTAACTTTTACATGGTACTAACTGTGTGCCAAGCACTAGCCAATGTGCATACTGCCTCTCAACTGACACTGTATATAAAATCTTACAGATATCTAGAGAATCTATTTTGTGCTAAGAGCCACAACATTTATGTGTGTGTGTGTGTGTGTGTATTATTTTATAATCTACACAACCACTCTTTGATACGGGTACTATTATCACCATTTTGCCCAAGGAGACATTGGGGCTCTGAGAAGTTCAGTAACCCACAGTAGCAGAGCCAGGCTTCTCACCCCACTCTGTGATGCCACAGTCCTAGTTTTGTCTGTTAGGCTACACTGCCTCTCCTGGAAATCTTCCCTATTCTATTAACTTGCTAAAGAAAACTGCTAGCTAAGTAGTTCTTTCCAAAGGGCTAGTTCGTTCCTTAGGGATAAAACAAGAGAAAACTGACATAAGCACTGGGAGAGAGGCCCACTGGTGGTTTTACCTCTAAAGTCATTCTGAGGCCCATGCACTTGCCTCAATCCTGAGAGGAAAATGACATATAGTCCAATGGACATCCATTTTTATATATAAATAAGGAGTACCTTTAGTAACCCACTAGCATTACTAAAATCTAGTACTTACTACTAAAATTAATGGTAAACTATCATTTACTGAGGTCTCTAACTTTGTACTAAGAAGTGCTGCTTCATAATGAGGCAGAATTCTTAGTGTGATTCAGCACATGTAGATAATTATTATAATTCTCACATTTTAAGTGAGGAAATGTCGTCCTTCCTCCCTCCCTCCCTCCCTCCCTCCCTCCCTCCCTCCCTCCCTCCCTCCCTTCCTTCCTTCCTTCCTTCCTTCCTTCCTTCCTTCCTTCCTTCCTTCTTCCTTCCTTCCTTCCTGTCTGTCATGGTTTTTAATTTCTACTCCTCTTGCTTTTTATTTTTACAATTACAATTAGGTTTACTTTTGTGGATCATCTTGTTCTTGTATAACTGCTGAATTGTCAACTTTGACGTGTTATTTCCTCATGGATTCTTACCACTGAGGTTTTTTTTTTAACTGAAAAGTATGAATTAAAATTCAGAAATATTGATATAAAGGGAATGATTTCCAGGCCTTTTTCTAGCCCTAGATATTTCAGGTGAACATTTCAGCATTTCAAAACAATGCTAGAAAGTATATATTATTTTCTTTAAGTTAAAAAAGAGGAGCCAGGTGCGGTGGCTTATGCCTGCAATCCTAGCACCTTTGGGAAGCCAAGGCGAGTGGATCACTTGAGATCAGGAGTTTGAGACCAGCCTGGCCAATGTGGCGAAACCCCATCTCTATTAAAAATATGCACACACAAAAAAATTAGCTGGGCATGGTGGTGCATGACTGTAGTCCCAGTAGGCACAAGAGGCACAAGAATCACTTGAACCTGGCAGGCAGACCTTGCAGTGAGCCGAGATCGCATCATTGTGCTCCAGCCTGGGCAACAGAGCAAGACTCTGTCTCAAAACAACAAGAACAACAACAAAAACAAGACTGAGGCTTAGAAAGTTAGTAACTTGCTAAGATTTCACAGGTAATAAGTAAGTGGTAGAAATGAAATTAAAACTCAGATCTGTCTGATTCCAAAGAATCCATTCTTCCCATTACATTCCACTGTCAATCCTGGAGTGTCTGCCATCTAATCTTACCCTCAGATTTTTTTTTCCACTTATGTGGCTAAATGTAGTTAATAATTACTGACCATATAAGTCAAATTTCATTAGACCTAACTTCAAGAAAACTATATTTTGTTAGCAGGCAACTGAATATTACTAAGCTGTTAAACTGCTTTGTGGATATCTTTTGCTATAAAGAGATTTCAGATGTAATGTGTGTTTTAAAAAATTTTTTTTGGCATCAAGATGTAACATCTGTATTTCAGGGACTGAAATGTACATTTAATAAGCTGCTATAAGTAAAATAGCTCTAGAAGACTAAAGAAAAGAAAAAATTTGACCTTGGAATTTTTTGCAGGCATTCTGCAAAAACTCACTGATCTTGGAATGTTTGGATGTCTCTTATTGCTCCCAGCTGTCAGATATGATTATCAAAGCATTGGCCATTTACTGCATTAACCTCACGTCTCTCAGCATTGCTGGCTGTCCAAAGGTATGTGCAGGAGTCAGGGCTCAGATAGAGCCCTCAAATATAAGTACAGCCAAGGGATAAGGCAGGACAGCTATCAGGGCTGGACTCAGAATGTGTTCTCTGCCATCGTTGAGGTATGCATTGGATTTTCTTTTTTTTACCCTCCAATGGGAAATAGCTTATGATTGCATTGGTGTCAAAGTAGAATGTTCCAAAAGTCAAAAACATAATTCTCATACAAATATAAACACGTTTCAAATATTTATTTAATTCATTAATGAGAGAACCAACAAAATGACAAAGCCAGTGTGAAGAGCATTTGAATGAACTTAGTATTTGTAGGAACTGATGAAAGAATGTTGGAGTAAGAGTGTTAGGTTAGGTCTAAAACTGTCCTACAAGTCATTAAATCCATAATCTTGGGGTTATAGTTCCTACCAGATACAAATAATATGCATCTTTCCCAGACAAAAATATAACAATTAACATATAACTTCATGGAGTTGGGGCCTTAGTCAACAGTAAACAGTATGTCAAACAAAGGCATGATTTCCTACAGAACTTTCCAGGTAGGCCTGTTAAACAGTGTCCAGTTTGACACTCCAAGGACATACCACCATCTTTTGTCTTATTTTCAACTGTTTTATAATGTTTCTTGACCTCTGTATATAAATGAAATAAGTACTATTGTCAAAAATTTAGACTACATATAAAAGCTTAAAGGATGTTAAACAAATATGCATGAAATGCATCACTCTATATCAAAGGTTTAAACGGAGAAGAAGGTAAGAGTAATCATTTTATTTTATTTCACTTTGAGTTCTGGGATACATGTGAAGAACATGCAGTATTGTTGCATAGGTACATACATGGCAATGTGGTTTGCTGATTCCATCCCCATCACCTATATCTGGCATTTCTCCCATGTTATCCCTCCCAACTCCCTAACCGCTGCTATCCCTCCCTTAGTCCCCCAACAGACCCCAGTGTTAGTTGCTACCCTCCCTGTGTCCATGTGTTCTCATTGTTCAATAGCCACCTATGAGTGAGAACAAGCAGTGTTTGGTTTTCTGTTCTTGTGTCAGTTTCCCGAGAATGATAGTTTTCAGGTTCATCCATGTCCCTACAAAGGGCATGAACTCGTTTTTTTATGGCTACATAGTACTCTATGGTGTATATGTGCCACGTTTTTTTTGTCCAGTCTATCATCAATGGGCATTTGGGTTGGTTCCAAGTCTTTGCTATTGTAAACAGTGCTGCAATGAACATTCGTGTGCATGTGTCCTTCTAGTAGAACGATTTATAGTCCTTTGGATATATACCTAGTAATGGGATTGCTGGGTCAAATGGAATTTCTATTTCTAGGTCCTTGAGGAATTGCCACACTGTTTTTCACAATGGTTGAACTAATGTACACTCCCACCAATGGTGTAAAAGTGTTCCTATTTCTCCACATCCTTTCCAGCATCTGTTTTCTCCAGATTTTTTTTTTTTTTTGAGACAGAGTTTCGCTCTTGTTACCCAGGCTGGAGTGCAATGGCGTGACCTCAGCTCACCACAACCTTTGCCTCCTGGGTTTAGGCAATTTTCCTACCTCAGCCTTCTGAGCAGCTTGGATTATAGGCACGTGCCACCATGCCCAGCTAGTTTTTTTTTTGCATTTTTAGTAGAGATGGGGTTTCACCATGCTGACCAGGATGGTCTCGATCTCTTGACCTTGTGATCCACCCGCCTCGGCCTCCCAAAGTGCTGGGATTACAGGCTTGAGCCACTGCGCCCGGACCTTGTTGTCTCCAGATTTTTTAATGATCGCCATTCTAACTGGTGTGAGATGGTATCTCAATGTGGTTTTGATTTGCATTTCTCTAATGACCAGTGATGATGAGCATTTTTCATGTTTGTTGGCCTCATATATGTCTTCTTTTGTAAAGTGTCTGTTCATATCCTTTGCCCATTTTTGAATGGGCTTGTTTTTTTCCTGTAAATCTGTTTGAGTTCTTTGTAAATTCTGGATATCAGCCCTTTGTCAGATGGGTAAACTGCAAAAATTTTTTCCCATTCTGTTAGTTGCCGATTCACTCTAGTGACTTTCTTTTGCCATGCAGAAGCTGTGGAGTTTGATTAGGTCCCATTTGTCTATCTTGGCTTTTGTTGCCAATGCTTTTGGTGTTTTGTTCATGAAGTCCTTGCCTACTCCTATGTCCTGAATGGTTTTGCCTAGATTTTCTTCTAGGGTTTTTATGGTGCCAGGTCTTATGTTTAAGTCTTTAATCCATCTGGAGTTAATTTTAGTGTAAGGTGTCAGGAAGGGGTCCAGTTTCTACTTTTTGCACAAAGCTAGCCAGTTTTCCTAACACTATTTATCAAACAGGGAATCCTTTCCCCATTGCTTTTGTCAGGTTTGTTAAAGATCAGATGGTTGTAGATGTGTGGTATTCCCTCTGAGGCCTCCGTTCTGTTTCATTGGTCTATATCTCTGTTTTGGTATCACTACCATGCTGTTTTGATTACTGTAGCCTTGTAGTATAGTTTGAAGTCAGGTAGCATGATGGCTCCAGCTTTGTTCTTTTTGCTTAGAATTGTCTTGCCTATGCAGGCTCTCTTTTGGTTCCATATGAAGTTTAAGATGTTTTTTTCCAGTTCTGTGAAGAAGGTCTTAGGTAACTTGATGGGGATAGCATTGAATATATAAATTACTTTGGGCAGTATGGCCATTTTTACAATATTGATTTTTTTAACCATTAGTATGGAATGTTTTCCCATCTGTTTGTGTCCTCTCTTATTTCGTTGAGCAGTGGTTTGTAGTTCTCCTTAAAGAGGTTCTTTAGATCCTTTGTAATTTGTATTCCTAGGTATTTTATTCTCTTTGTAGCAATTGTGAATGCAGTTCTTTCTTGATTTGGGCCTCTTTAAGTCTGTTACTGATGTATAGGAATGCTTGTGATTTCAGCACATCTATTTTGTATGCTGAGATTTTGTCGAAGTTGCTTATCAGTCTAAGGAGATATTGGGATGAGATGATGGGGTCTTCTAAATATACAATCATGTCATCTGAAAATAGAGACAATTTGACTTCCTCCTTTCCTAATTAAATACTTTTATTTCTTTTTCTTGCCTGATTGCTCTGGCTAGAACTTCCAATACTATATTGAATAAAAGTGGTGAGGGGGACATCCTTGTCTAGTGCCAGATTTCAAAGGGAATGCTTCCAGTTTTTGCCCATTCAGTATGATATTGGCTGTTGGTTTGTCATAATAGCTTTTATTATTTTGAGATATTTTCTGTCGATACCTAATTTATTGAGGGTTTTTAGCATAAATGGCTGTTGAATTTTGTTGAAGGCCTTCTCTGCATCTATTGAGATAATCACATGGTTTTTGTCTTTGGTTCTGTTTATGTGGTGAATTGAATTTATAGACTTGCATATGTTGAACCAGCCTCGCATCCCTGGGATGAAGCCTACTTGATCGTGATGGATAAGCTTTTTGATGTGCTGTTGCCATTGGTTTGCCAGTATTTTATTGAAGATTTTTGCATCTATGTTTATCACGGATATTGGCCTGAAATTTTCTCTTCTTGTTGAGTCTCTGCTGAATTTTAGTATCAGGATGATGTTGGTCTCATAAAATGATTGGTGAAGGATTCCCTTTTTCTGGATTGTTTAGAATAGTTTCAGAAGGAATGGTACCAGCTCCTCTTTATATGTTGGGTAGAATTTGGCTGTGAGCCCATCTGGACCTGGGCTTTTCTTGTTTGGTAGGATATTAATTGCTGCCTCAACTTCAGCCCTTGTTTTTGATCTATTCTGGGATTTGACTTCCTGGTTTAGGCTTGGGAGGATGCAAGTGTACAGGAATTTATCCATTTCTTCCAGATTTACTGGTTTATGTGCATACAGTTGTTTGTAGTAATCTCTAATGGTAGTTTGTATTTCTGTGAAATAAATGGTGGTATCCCCTTTATCAATTTTTATTGCATCTATTTGATTATTCTCTCTTTTCTTTTTTATTAATCTGGCAAATGGTCTATTTTATCGATCTTTTCAAAAAAACCAGCTCCTGGATTTGTTAATTTTTTGAAGGCTTTATGTGTCTCTATCTCCTTCATTTCTGCTCTGCTTTCAGTTACTTCTTGTCTTCTGCTAGCTTTTGAGATTTTTGATCTTACTCCTATGGCTCTTTCAAGTTTGATGATAGGGTGTCAATTTTAGATCTTTCCTTGCTTCTCATGTGGGCCTTAATTGCTATAAATTTTCTCTAGACACTGCTTTAAAAGTGTCCCTGAGATTCTGGTATGTTGTGTCTTTGTTCTCGTTGGTTTCTTTTTTTTTTTAATTGCATTTTAGGTTTTGGGGTACATGTGAAGAACATGCAAGATTGTCGCATAGGTACACACATGCAGTGTGATGTGCTGCCTTACTCCCCATCACCTATATCTGGCATTTCTCCCCAGGCTATCTCTCCCCAACTCCCCACCTTCCGCTGTCCCTCCCCTATGTCCCCCCTACAATCCCCAGTGTATGATGCTCCCCTCCCTGTGTCCATGTGTTCTCATTGTTCAACACCCACCTATGAGTGAGAACATGCAGTGTTCGATTTTCTGTTCTTGTGTCAGTTTGCTGAGAATCATGGTTTCCAGGTTCATCCATATCCCTGCAAAAGACACGAACTCATCATTTTTGATGGCCGCATAATATTCCATGTTATATATGTGTCACATTTTCCCTGTCCAGTTTATCATCAATGGGCATTTGGGTTGGTTCCAAGTCTTTGCTATTGTAAACAGTGTTGCAATTAATATTAGTGTGCATATGTCCTTATAGTAGAATGATTTATAATTATTTGGATATATACCCAGTAATGGGATTGCTGGGTCAAATGGAATTTCTATTTTCAAGTCCTTGAGGAATCGCCACACTGTCTTCCACAATGGTTGAACTAATTTACACTCCCACCAACAGTGTAAAAGTGTTCCTGTTTCTCCACATACTCTCCAGCATCCATTGTCTCCAGATTTTTTTA